GTTTTCGAAACAAAAAAAAAACGAATCTATTCCAGGTCAATGAAATTTTAATGGGGTTGCATTTAAAAAACCTTTAGGTCGTCTAAATCAAATATACTTCTACCCCTTAGAGTATCAAGAAAGCTTCTAAAACAAGTCGAAAGGGATATTTCGAAATCGATTTCCAGCTTGAAACCTGATAAAAAATAAACCGATGGATAAAAAGATGATATTGAAATAGAGCGACACCTTTGAGCTTGGCGGCATAAAGGCACAAACATGAAGATTTTCTTTGAAGTTGGATATAAATACTTACACTCATATAGGGATGGAAAAAATCGAGGAAAAAATACCTCCTTAGCAACAGAATGATTTGAAAAGGAAGTTGTGGGAACTAGAAGTATTCAAAGTGTTAATCATTCCAGAAAAAAAAAATATAAACAATTTATTTATTTATTGTTTAATTCACAACAGAGCAAACTCCAAATATTATTTTATGTACCTACCTACTGTCATAGATATATGACAAATTATTGAAAAAATAAGATAAAACTATGCTATATATACGATTACAACAATTTTATTAATACAAGGCAATACAAATTCAAAAAAAAAACACAATATAATATGAACATACATTATGGCTCCCTTTCCTTAATTACTTCCCCTCAAATCACATATCGGAGTTGCCACTCATTTTCTCAGAGAGCCAAGATCCAAGCTGTCGTATTTGGAGTTACCGAAATGTCTGTGATCTATGGTCGTTAAAGGTTTGTTCATATTGATTTCAGTTTATTTTTGAATGTAAATGGGGTGCAATTGAAATTAAAATTCGCAGGAATATGTGTGTTGAAGAGATGCATGATGCGATTCATGACACTATTTTTGCCAACATCAGTCCGACTTCTATTGATTGAAAACATGCCATTCAAACGCGTATCGCGTGAAGGTACACGAATGTTTATAAGTGCCAGAAGTTCCGGGCAGTTCACATTATTAGTCACTATTTTGAACCCGAACATGAGTGTCAGAAATATCCTACGCATCTCCAAACTATCGATATTCAGCAGTTTCAATCGATCTTGGTAAGGAATTTGATTTTTGTCAATTCCAAGTTTGTATAGCAGGAAGTTGACAAATTCCACTTGAACACGTTCAATACGCTTAATATGGGTTTGGTAATATGGCGACCAAACTATGCACTACGCACCAATGAAAAGTACAGAGACTTCAGTACCGATATTGGACCATTTCCTACACATACGCATATAAAGCCTGCCATTTTGAAGGCTTCTGCTAAAATAAAATTTATATAATTGTTATATCTTAATTTAAAAAAGTCAAAAACTACTCACAAATCGTTAATTAGATCTACTCTAGGCAGAATGGAACGTGCAATAAAGTAGGAGTGCAAGATGGGCGCTTTTCTTCGAGAAAACGATATTATGCATTTAGAAGTATTTAGTTCAGTTCCATTTAACGTACACCATTCTGATATCTTATCGACCTCGAGCTGTAGAAGTGAGCAGTCATGGCTGCAAGTGATACTTCTAAAAATTTTGAGATCGTCAGGATAGAAGAGAAATTTGCAATTGGTGAATGTGTTGATAAGGTCATTAATGATAACAAGAAACAAAATAGGGCCCAAATGTGACCCCTGGGGTACACCATAGGTGACTGCAATTTCCTTACATACGGCTCTCCTAATCCTAACAAGCTGTGTTCGGTTTTGGAGGTAACTTGCAACTCAAGATAACAGAGGGCCTGTGACGCCGAATGACTAGTTTATTGAGGAGCATGCCATGCTCTACTCTTTCGAAGGCCTTCTTAAAATCAAAATAGATCGAATGAACCTAACCCCCAGAGTCGACAAAGGACAAGTAATAGAAATAAACACCTAAGTTCGTCTGGCATGACCGCCCTGGCAGGAAGCCATGCTGGTGTTCTGAAAGCTCATCAACGACAATAGATTCCAGAACCTTGGCCATAAAATCAAGGCCAGATATGGGACGATAGTTGGATATTTCTCCCCTGACGCCCCCCTTAAATATAGCAGTCACATAGGCAGATTTCCAGAGGTTCGGGAACTGACCCGAATTAAGAGATAGCCGATACAGGTAAATAAGTGGTGACGCTAAGGTTGGACATCAGTTCTTTACGAAAATTGGAGGAATATCATCTGGTTCTGCTCTCTTTTTCTCGTCTAGTCCGATAAGTTTCTGAAGTACATAAATCAGAAGTTGAGTTACTTGCATCATTAAAAAAATGGAAAAAAATATACTTATTGAAAACACATTAAATTGGAATTTTAACAAAGAGCTAAAGCTACTCTTTATTACAACAGTTATAAAAGTTTCTGGAGAGAGATGTCATGCTATTAAAAGTTTTCTAATTAAAACAAGATTTCTGGAAAATATTTGACGTGGTTTATCGTCGAAAGTTAATAATAAAATGTATTTTATTCGACATTGTGTGTGTTTCGTTGAGTTTTAAATAGAACAGCAATGTTCAAGGCTGGAAACTTTCAAAGTGAGTTTAATGAACAAACAGTTCAGCCAAGTTTTCATTTAAATTCAACAATGATAATTTTGATCTTTCGAATGATACAATAGAGCAAGTGGCGGCAAGAGATAAAGAAATAATATATACAACTAACAATTTGCCATCAATTATTGCAAAAGCTCAGAATGCAGACTTTGCCGATATCTTTCACACATGGAGTCGACTAATATTTGACTAAGTCTTTCATAAACTTGTATTAAAGCCATGAATATTTTTATTGTCATTTTTCATTTTTTGTCTTGTTCTATTGTAATGACTAATTATTGTTTATATCTAGTCTATAGTGTTTGTTGCCTCCCAGGGCTTGAAAAAGTATATTATACGAAACGTCGGTCGTCAGAAAATAATTGGTCTTTGTCTCCTATGACCCAAGATCTACATAAGGAACCAGGGAAATGAAATGTCAGTTAATAATAATAATCTCTAAAAATCAAAGATTGCTGTAGTTGGACATTGTGTCAGTTATTTTTATACGACTTAAGTCTGTCTAACTTCCAGGGATAGATGGGTATATCAAAAAAAATTAACATACCTTAAGAAATCGAGTTATGTTCTAGAATTGGAATGAAAAAGTTATGACACATCTTAACCTTAACAAAAATATCCATAACTTCATCAATTACACTCACAAGAAAGATCTCATTAAATAGCAAAATCAGGCGGAGTGAATTTGTCGAAAATTTTATTTCATTCAGGAGCTCTTTCTTGTAAGATAATCGCAGATATGCGTTTTTCGGGTTCAAATTAATTTTCCACCCTGATTTACAATGTTCCGACTACTCCATTCAAGCAGATTCTATTTTCGAACCACAGAAAATCACCTCAAAAGCCGCAGCCTTCATCCGCACTCTCGCAATTACTTTTGGACTTTAAGCTTGAAAAAAAAGTCCTACCTCAGATATTAAAATGAAAAGAATACGTGCAGGCTGCAGCCGGGAAAAGATATATTTTCACAAAAGTCTCTGAAGAACGATGGCGCTTTTTAATGTGGTTTTAACTACAGAAGGAAATGCAATTAGAAAAAAACAAAGTTTTTCGCTTTTACGAGATTTCCTTCTATCTGTGTTATATTTTTAGCTGACAAAAACTAGATCCAAAAGTTCCTTAGTTATGCAGATGAGACCTAAGCAACGTGCCCTATGGATACAAAAGCTAATATTCGCGAGTATATGCACAACAGTTGCATATATTTTCACGAGGATATAATTACTAGAAGCATTTAATATCCAAAAACAATATGCTTGTGATTATTTAGTAGAAAGTTCGGGGCAGACAATATCGAGGCTGCCACCAATATTATTGTATTTTCAATCGCATTGTGAATTGTTCCATAATTAAATTAGAGAAACTAAGCAAAATTTTAGCAGCTCCTGAAAAACAAAACACGAATTCTATTGCAGACGAAATTAATGTGCGTGTCAAACGGTGCATGAAACTAGTTTCATGATACGAACTGCTTTCGTGAATGCATGCATACCGGAAGAACTCTTTTAATTTAGTTCCATGATGTCGTCTGACAAAAAGGAAAAAGAAATGTTTCGCTCGTGTCTGCTAAATGAACAAAGAAAGATAAATAAATTTTTTGATACATCCGGGATTGACGACACAGAATTTCAAAAACCATGTACTGATGGAAAGAAATGAGTTTTTACAGAATGTCCAAGTTCCGATTTGATAATGTCACGGATTCCGGATTCACTGAAACTTACTAACACAAACAGTAACTTTATACAAGATTCACTTTTCACTTATCGAAACATAACACGGCAAATATCGAATTAAAAACTGAGTTACTACTCCGCTCTATTTATAGCAGACATTGTATGCGGGATTTATTTAGAAAAACTTGGCGGCTGACAATTGCGTTTCTCAGAATCAGACCGCGCTCCCGAGGCAACTTCGTAACAATAGTTTGTTGCAATTGGTTGACCCCCAGCTTACAGAGAAGAGCTCGGACACCAGCTTCAACACAAAACTGTTCGTAATAGAAGAAAGGAAAATCTACGGAGAGTCTTAAAAATAATAAATTCCTTGGCGTGGATTCGAGCACGTTAAAACATTGAGAACGTGTTAGTGGAGTATTCAGAAAACATTTTAAGCTAAGGCTAAGGAAGTAGAAGAAAAAAATACCTTTTTTACTCCATATTCAGCTTGTTGGTGTACATTATTTCGAAATCTCAGTCCAACGGTTGTTCGCTCTCACAAAGAAAAAAAAAACCTCCCAGACAAAACGTAATACACGCCCATTCTCAAAATTGACAATATAATCCCGGAGAAAAACCTTTTTCCATGTGAAATGCAATCGTACAACGAAACCAAGGAGGTTTTTTTTTTATCTTTCACGAGGCCACTTTGTTTTGCAAATTGGTTAAGGAATGAGAGGGCCCAGTAAAAAAAAGGGTGAAAAGTTTATTTATTTTCAGAGGCCTAGTAAATATTCAAAAGATTTTTTTGTTGTTCTAGATGGAAGCACTCGTCAAAGAAATGCAAGATACGGAGTCAGGGGGCGTGCCAGTAAGAAGCCAAAAAATTTTTTTAACATCTATTCCTGCTGCTTTTATGGGTAAGTTGTTCCAGATCTTCCGTCAATGTTATATTATGTATAGCAAATTGATTGATTCATTTATTTTGTAAATTGAATTTCGAGTGGAAAATGTCAATGTAAGAAAAGCCTCACGCGAAATATTTACAACTCTTTTAAAAGTCAAGATTTTACAAAGGTGAAAATTAAACAAACAAACTTTCTGGAAATATCGATTCTCAAGAAAGTCGCAATAAACAAGCATCAAAACGCTAGAAAATACAACATAATAACAGAAATTATTTATTACATTCTTATACGGTGTCATTTAAGTGTGCAACATATGGGATTTTTTTTTAGTAATAGCACAATCAAAATACAAACAAGGCCAAAAGTTGGTGCATGTCTGATAATCAATATTAGGTGCACTTAGAATGGTTGCAAGTCAAACAGCATACAGGGTGGCTCAAAAAATATCAAAATTCTACTAATATTTACTTAAATAAAATAAAACTTTTGCACTTTGAGGAGAGTTTTTTTAATATGGCTATTCTCATTAGTAATGTCTTAACTTGTTAAAAAAAAAAATGCGACATTTTAAAGTTGTGTTGAATATCATTGCAACAAACATGAATTTTGTGATTCCATAAAAAATTAAAAATCTAAGTTAATTTTACAAATATGCTTGAATTTGAACAAAGTTATGTAAAACGGAAATAAAAAATAAAAAAAATATAAAAATTATAGATTTTTTTCGAAAGAAAATAAAAAAAATCTTAGGAGGCTATGTTTTGGTATTTAGGCATAACTTTTAATTCCAAACAACTTTTCTCTATAACATTTTGCTGAATTTTCTAAAATAAGGGTACTTAACGGTACAGCTTTGATATTGTTTGAGCTACCCTGTATGCTGTTTGACTTGCAACCATTCTAAGTGTACCTAATATGATTATCAGACATGCACCAACTTTTGGCATTGTTTGTAGGTATTTGGGTTGTGCTATTAGTAAAAAAAATCCCCATATGTTGCACACTTAAAAAATCACACTGTACATACATATATAAATACCTACTTAATATTCTCAACTGATACCACCCTTTAACTTAACTGATAGAATATGCTTATTTTAATTTTAACTTAATGTTTGTCAAATTTGACAGATGTCATGGCTTTCTCAGAAACCTTCCTGATGGTTTTTCGCATTATTTTTGGAGCAGAGAAATTCCATATAGTGCGGACAAACTGTATAAATGAACATTTTATCCTGCGATTTTAATGATAGGGAACACAAATAATTATTAATATTTTGTTTGGCATTTTGAATAACGTATGGATAGTAAACTTAAATATCTAGAAAACTTCTCATATTGAATTTTGCAGGTTTTTCATAGTATTAATTTCCTCTAGTCAATTTCTATCGACAAACTATTTATTGGCTTAAGCCTGTTATATAAATATGTCGAAATCACGGAAAAGTTTTTTGTGAAGTGCCCTCAGATAATAAACTTTCTGCTGAGCTGCACTTTATTATTGATCATTTTGCTTTAGGTAATTGGCTACTTCCGCCGTTAGTTACAAAACTCTTAAAAAGTTAAGAGAGCAAATAAATAACTTGCAAATGAAAGCAATGTAGATTTTATTCAAAATACTAGCTTCGCTGGAAACTTTTTCAAAATCGATTCGTAATATAGAAAGTTTCGTCGCTTCGGAACTAATTAAAACTTTCACGGCGTGCTTTTTGAGTCTATTTCAGACACAGGACTGATTTATTTCGATCGGATTTTTGATTTCATATATGAGAAATGTTTGGATTTGTTTTTCCTAGGATTTTTATTTTGAGAAAGTCGCACGTTTTCACTCTAATTGTCGTCTTACAGACTTTTCTTTAATAAAAGGTTTAGGTTTTAATCACTTTTAACTTTTTTTGTAACAAAATTTCGAATAACTCTTCTTTAAAATTTGGGATAAAAGAGGTGCATTTAATTTAAAAAGCCATTAAAACACTCACATAGTACATACGATAAAGAAAGGCAAACAAGTTGTAGATATTTTCAGGAAAGTCTTTGCAGTGACGATTATATAATTTGAGACAAAAATGTGCAAGATAGATTATTGGCAATTTGCGCGAATGCCTGCCGAGTCGCTAAGCTGAAAAAATAAGCAAAATATATAATAATAACTTATTAACAAGTCGGAAAAAAAACCAGTAGGTAACCTCAATCTCTATTACATATTATTTTGTATGTACCTGTAACAATAGATTTTCCTATTTATTTATGAGTTTATCCAGCAATTTATAAGCCGATATACCGAAAGTTTACATTTGCATAATATTTATATTTCACAGGCCGAGTTCCACAGAGTTATTTACCGTCTATTTTGCAATGGAAAATGATTTCTATTTTTAGAAAAAGCATTTTAATGTACAAACCGCTCTTAAGTTTCCCTGAAAAGGAAAAGGCTTGTTGAAATTTGATTCAGATTTTCAATTTTACATGATGACAACAACAACAAATCAATTTGTTTGTTTGATAAAAATGTTGGAGGGTTACAGATAAGGCATATTTGCGACGACCCAGATTCCTTCAAGAGTAAGTCCGAAATACATCTCCTGCTGTTAAAGCCTGCGAACACTATACTACATACTATTTTTCTATGAAGATAAAGAACTCTGCAGAAAGCTTTGGCATAGAGAACACAATTGTCAAATGGGTCTGTGTTATGCTGGAAGGCAGAACCATTAATCAAATCAATCAATCTATGAAGGCATAAAAAAAGTAAATTTACCAAATGAAAACGCTATTATCACGTTGCAACTTCTATAGTGCTCTCCAGAGAATATTCTCATTATTTTCTACAAGCAACGTACACCAAAAGATATTCTAACCTATATCCACGACAAAAGGCAAGAGAAATCATATTGAGAAACTTCAAATGTCTCTTTGTGAGTTGGAGCATTGCGACTTCTGGAAAAGGCTCTTCTGAACAACACCTCTGCATCTTGAAATTGAGAGCTCAGTACTCAAAGAATGGAAATACAACCAATAAGCAGAAGCAAATAGATCATGACAAAAAATTGTTTGTGCGGACGAAGACAAGCATCAGTCGTGAAAAACTCGCACCCTAGATCACTTTGTATATTTATTGTAACAAATCATGACTTTCACAGTTTTAACTGATTTTTTCCGTGATTAACATAATTCACCTTGAGCGTTTCAATATCAACTCCTAAACATTTTGAAAACTACTCCAAATGGTTTTGAATTAAATCGCATGAGAGTCTCACGTCTCATGCATAGTTCATTTAGGATTTAATTCAATTCCTCTGAGGATTAAATTAACTTTAGAATGTCTCAGTCTATAAAACACTTGATTATCTCTAAAAAGAACTTTTATTAATGAAATACGATTTAGAACATTTTAATTCGTTTCAGGTTATGACCTAATTGAATGGCTGATCATGCGTCTTGAGATTGAGGAGTCTGGTAAGTCAATGATTATTTATTTAAGTCTCCTTTTCTCCTTTCACACGAAAACAGAACAGCAATATCAGTACTCAATTAAACTTCTAAAATACAAAAGAAAAGTAGAAAAGAAAATGTAATGGATGTATCTTTGAGTGGATCTCCGTTTGCCACTACTTCAACCAATCGGCGAACTAACCGAAGTGCCGAAATCCTTCACTGTTTTTAAAGCAGTTAAGTTTTCGATACACGTTCATCAATAACGTTTTTAGTAAATTTTGAAAGCAATAATAAAAACATTGATATTCCATTTAAAACCTTTCAATTTTTATGTTTATGGGTACATTATTAGAGTTATAGCCATCGGATAATAAATCTTTTTTTATTTTCTTTCAGAGGCGCTGAACATAGCCAACCAATTATGCCAATATGGTTATTTTTTTCCTATAAGTGATTCGAAAAACCTTGTAGTAAAAGATGATAGTTCGCTCTATAGATTTCAAGTAAGTTATTACTCTATTATAGCTTTAGGTCTAGATTACGTTTAACCCTCGTAAAACGTAGAGGGACTGAAATAAATGTTTATGTTCGTTAAAGCATAGAACGAAAGGGTAGTAAAAGTTTTACGCTTTTAATTTAAATTAATTGCTAATTAACTGTAACAGGTTTATTATTCTTAAATACGCCCTATTGTTAAAAACATTCTTCATCAATGGTCATTGATCAAATACTTTACTCTGCCCTGCTAAACTTAAAACTTAATTTTTAACGATTTTCATGTTTCATGTAAATGTATTGTATTCCTGTAACCAAAAATGGACCAGAATCATATTGAAAATCAAATTTCTAGTTTAATAATCATCATCAAAATTCTTAAAGCAATGGTATTTGTGCCATTGTCTATTACCGAACTTGAAAGTCTCAATTTGAGATTGCTTTGGAAAAGATGCTGTTTGAACCGGAGTTCTAGTAAATGTAAACTCTCCAGCTCCTGAAAATTTTCCTTCAAACTCGCAAACAACTTTTAAGGTGAAGTATCTGGTTTCTCCAGTTTCTACATGGGGCGCCAAAATTTACTGCTCTGCAACATACGCACGTGCTGCTTAAGACAAAGAGTATTTAACTTTCGAACCCTTTCCGCCCTAATTTTAAGCATGGCGCACAATAACGTGCTCCTAATATTCGCAGATAAACAGAGATTATGGAATGACATATTCCATAATCTCTCCCTTTTCGGCCGAATAATCCGGATGTTATTGCATGTGTAATTTTTGTTTTGTGAAATTGGATACTTATGTATGCTAGAACTATTATTCAGAATATTAATTTTGTTGCCAATGTTAATACCATTTCTGGACCTACCTTTTGCGTTTATATCTGAATATCAGGATGCACCAAGTATGTAAACTTCACTAGAGGTTACCTTTCTGGGGAATAATTTTCCTAATGTAAAGTCAGATGTTCCAATTCCTTCTGGAAATATTTCCGCTTTGCCCGATCCATAAGAGCTTTGATCACTCCTATCTTATGTCGTAAATGGTTATTACAATTCTTGTTCAGCTATTTATGGATGTGCTTCCAATAGACTATGCTCCAGTTTTCCATTGCCCTCTCCTACCAACCAAATGTCTGGATATTTTGTTCTTCTCAATTAATTTTTTCATTGATTGAGTTGTTATTTTTTAATGGATTCGGTGGGTTATTAATCTTGTTAAACATTTCAGTGCCAACACCATTAAAGTATTGATTACAAAAATTTGTTACTTAAGAAGGGCTCAGTGTATATCGTGATTGACTTTGGACGCAACTTGATTAGTTGCCTCAGAGATAATTTTATAAATTTTTCTGGAATCATTAATACTATTTTGAATCTTATTTCTGTAATAATCATGTTTTGTTTTTTTTATCAAAGCAACTATTTCTGTACTTTTTTTACATTAAATTATCATTTGCATTACAATTTTTTTAAAGTTTTCTTTTCATAGTATCTCTAGTTTTCATGGACTTGATAAGGCCATTTGCAACCAAGGACGGCTTTGTTTTGTTTATATTCTCAAGATTATACACCCTCCTTTCAAGAGAATTTCTGGAAATATCAATTATTTTTGCGAATCTATTTGTAGCCATTTCCACGTTCATGTTCTCAACCACATCCCGCCAATCCGTATTTTTTATCAAATTCCCAAAGGTATTTATATTAACTCTCTCGAAGGTCTTTGCAACTATACTATGTTTAGGGTGACTTTTATTTTCAGAATTGAGGTTGATCATCACAGGATGTTCAGTCATAGCGAAATCCAATATAAATGCATTCTCATTACACTGTTTTTAAATTCTGTTTCTGACAAAGATATGGTCTATAAATGTCATAGAAGTTAGGGTCACGCCAGTATATAGCCATTTATCATGGGTTCAAATCCATATGAGGTCAACGGCGATACAAGTTAGAATTGTTATCATTTCTATTCAGAATGTCTATAGTGATATCACCTTCTATTAGTTCAATTTGAGTCAATGCATTTTTTTGTAAGTATTCTTCCAAGTCAATTAAAAAGTTTTGAAGCTTACTGGATGGTGGTTTATATACGCAATAGGTACCGAAAGATATATTATTATTTAATGAAAGGCACAATTTAGAGAGCGAAACTTGTGACGTTGGCAATTCAGTTTCCTCAATATTTACAATAAGCGTATTACTCATAAAGATAATAACACCATCGTTCTGATTAAAATTTTCCGTATAATAAATAGGAATACAAAAAGTATTTTCGGGGATAATACCACGAGAGCTTAAAAATTATCTGGTTCATTTTAAAGCTCAAGTGGTATTTAGAGGATTATTTCACGTATGAGAATGCAAAAAATATGGAAATAAATATGTATTAAACGTTTTAAACATCTTAAGAATCAATAAAAATAAATTGTTGCTATCAGGAATCGTTTGTTTGTATCAAAAGTTAGCATGACAACCATGTATACAATAACATGGGAGAATTATCGCTGTAATTCTCTCTAGTGAAACAAATGGAAAAGAGAATTTTCACTGAAATTCTGAAAATCGTCACTTGTCTTATGGGATTTCTAACACATGAGTGGAATAATCATTTAAAATTTTCCAACTCACACTCAAAACAATAACATCATACAAACAAGAATCATATGCCCGAAGCTTCACTAAGAGGTTGTCAAAGTTTTTTTGAATACTTATATTTAAATGTAGAATGTTCAATAGTTTAGAAGAATTATTTTTAAGTTTTGATACCTTATTAAGATCTATCCTGTTCTGTATGGGTTCCTCTAGCACATCAAGGTCATTCAATATATTAATCTCATTTGAGACATCTATAAACTTCCGAGTAATCAATTACTTTGATGATGTGTTGATAACTTGGGCAGGTAACATCAGTTGCTTCGTGATTGGTTGTATACTCATGTCCATTTTGGTGTTAGCTCTCTCACAATTCACACATTTCTTTCCGATTTTTTCGCATTCGTGGAATTCATGCCTATCACCACAAAAATCGCATCTTGAATCATTAGGACAATTATTGCTTTTGTGAAAATATTCTTGGCACTTGAAACAACGTTACAGTTTCCATATAAATAGTGTGTGTTCGGTTCCTTTTGTTTAGCTTCATGAATGTTATTGTAAGCTTATCTGATTCATTTATGATGGAGTTCTGGTCACGTAGATATTTTTCAATCTCCTCCAGGTTAGGGCTAAGGTCCTCCTTGTATTCTACAATCTTGAATTGGGGTTTTTGCATTTTAGACATCTGAACTTGATAGGTATCCATTTAATGTAGCCTCGGCTTCATCTTAAGTTTCTCAATATCTTGTTTAGAATGACACTTAATTATTACGCTACCATTTGCCATATCTTTAGTATTTTTAATCCCAACCTTCAAATAGTTCAAATCAGCAGGTTTAACATGTTGATGTAGCTCTTGTTTAGTAATTCTGGAATTTTGTACATTATTTGGAATAATCAACAAACTTGGTATGTTATTTTGCATAGTGGGTATCGAATTTTGTGACATATTCTTTTGAAACGCGTTGCTATATGATATTTGTGGTGTATTTTGTAAACTCATCTCGCTTTCCAAATCATATTTTTTTTCTTTAGTAGGTTGATAATTTCATGTTTATTGGCGATTATATTGTTTTTATCTTCGATGGTGTTTTTCAATAAAATGCTTGTCTCGAACTGACATGCAAAAAGACTTCATTGTTCCTGCTACCCTTTAGCTCTAGAACTTCAATTTCTGAAGATGTTAGCTTGGCACATTTCGCACAATTTTGCGATGGGCAGCCATCACACAGAAAAGTTTTTAGATCTTTTTTACGACAAATGTCGCATTCCATTTTCGTGGATTATTAAATCGCTCTCATCGGAGCCGGCAACAGCGCATCCACTCTGTCAGTAAAACATGAAAACAAATCACGTTTTCGTAATGATTTTTATGAAATTTCGGACTAGATTCAATCACTAGGTAGAGAAATGATTGTATAATGGCACTGATTAAAACATTTTGGAGTTTGTATTCTCGGTATTTTCATTCACTATACAGGGTGTTCCGAAACTATTGTGCCAAAAATTGAGTAATGATAGATCTCACCAAAATAAACGTTTTTTACTTATAAACCCATAGGCGCATGCGTCTTGGTTAGGTGATAATAGCACATTACAGTCCGCACTGTGGTAGCCACCTTGCACACGGAAAAGCGTGTTTAAATAAGCAGAACCTGTGTTATTAAATGATACAGAACCCAAAGAGTGCTTGCAGTATTTATTTAACATAATGATTCACATCAAAAGATGCCCAAAGCTACGACTACCCGCCTCAATGCATGGGTAACAGCGTTGTAGCAGAAATATCGAGCAGATTTCTGCAGGAAACTCTTCCCGAAACTGTTTCCCTGTATGCCAGACAAAACATAGGGTATTAACACGAAAGACCACCACCACATTACTTGTTAGCCTTAAGGGAACATCTCAACGAAACATCTGGAAAGAGTGATTGTTAAGGGGGCATGGACTCCACGTTCACCAGATCTGACGGAATGTGACTTTTTTTTTATGGGGTCATATGAAAGCTCTTGTTTACGACACTCCAGTTGAAACAGCTAGAGGAAGTTATTAGGAAGGATTGTTGCAGTAGCTGCTGAAATTCTCGAAACACCATGAATTTTTCAACGTGTTCAGGAGGCTATGCTATGGCGCTGTCACGCACGTAGGGAGGTGGGTGGTCGTAGCTTGGAGCATCTTCTGCTGTGAATCATTGTTTTTAGTAAATACAGCAAGCATTCCTTGGGTTGTGCATCATTTAATAACACAGTTTCTGCTTCAAACACGTTTCTCCGTGTGTAAGGTGCCTACCACAGCGCGACCTGTAATGTTCTATTATCACATAACCAAAGCGCATGCGCCTATGTGTTTATAAGTAAAAAACGTTTATTTTGGCGCGATCTATCATTCCTTAATTTTTGGCACAATAGTTTCGGAACACCCTATAAGTATTAACAAATCATTTGTCAATACACAACTTACTGTAAACGACACAACGTTTCCAGCACGGTGTATAGTTTCGGTTTTTGTTGTGTGTGAAATACAAAGAACATGTCAGTATTCGAGTTCATCCTTGCTTTTCGAGTCCTTGTTCTGATTATGTTTTCAATTTAATGTTTCTACTGCAGAGTGCAGAAAAGGGCCATTAGATCCTAAAATCATTATTGGTCTGTAATCAGATTATTTTATAATTAGGGGTAACTCAAAACAAGCCCATTGATTTGTTTATTTGAGAAAAGATTTCTGGATCCTATTTTATTATTCCATTAAGATAAAAATTAGTAACTTGAACTCATATAGAAACTAAATAGATTTTGAACCTTCGTTGCGAGTAGCTATTTTGTAACTAAAACATAAATAAATGCCTATTACGGTTAATAGCTGTACTCTAACAGCAAAGCTGATAGAACACTTGGTGGTAGCGTCTACAACATCGTTTCGTTCGTGTGGTGTTTTTATTTTATTAACCTTGAACCACGAATTCACCGCGCTTTCGCATCTGTATATAGGGGATCTGTGGCATAAGTGCGAAGTCGAGCAAGGGGTCAATACAAACGAGTCACAATTATTAACGTGCCGAGGTTGTCTATCCCCCACTCGTGACATATTATCTTGAAGGTGAAAAATTATTTTTAACTCCCTTTAAAAAGTAGAAAACTTAAAACAGAAAAAAAGGCTGACAGGTAAAGCGAATTACAATTTAAACAACTCTTTTAACAATGTGATAGCGTTTCAAGTATTTTAACCCTTGTTGTTCTTCACCTAGTTTTAGCTTTTTACTGTGATATTTTTAATTTTTAGTTTTTTTTTTTTTGTAATATTCCAGTTTATATATCCGTTAGACTTTAACTTATTTTTTGCCCCGGACTATTATAGAATGGGAAGTATTTTTAATTTCATTTAATCGTTTCGTCCATTTTTATATTAGCTTTGTTAATTACATATTGTGTCTTTAAACAATAGAGCATATTTCGATTTGTAGTGCAGTTTGTATCCTTATATGTCAGGAAAATTTCTACAAAGAAGCCCTGATGCCCTGCAAACCATTCTCGTTCAATGTGCATAATTTAAATATTTATATAAACAATCTGGTTTGCAGCAACTCAAAATTACCCCGTTCGGTCCCTTTGAAACGCTATTTTTCTTATTTCTATGCGCTCCTTTGATGCTGAAATATTCAAAAGCATGTCCCTGTTTCCGGTATGGTTTGAAGCTCCTTCCAAAATATTTTTATCTTAAGCTAGGCGAAATTGTGTTTATATTGCAACTTTTTTGAGTGTATATTGATGTGCCATTTGGAATACTAGATGTTATAAATTACTGACTAGTTTTTTTTTCTTTTTTAGTCTCCTTATTATTGGCCTTGGCGAAACAAACCCCCTGACAACGTTGATTATGCAATTTACCTAACGAAACGATCACTGAGGAATAAACAGCGACACGGTCTGGAAGAATACGAGCTGGAAGCGTTTACGAATCTAAAGCGCAACTTATCTAACAAGTGGGACATCATTACAGCACAAGCGGAAGAACAGGTCAGTGGTGTAGCTAAGAGAAACTTAATTAAGTCCTTAAGTGGGTACTTAACCTTTACACGAGTGGCGTGTGTGCTTTTAGGACACCTGTGGCCTAAATAGGAGCGTTTGCAAGACATGGAAATGTTCCATTATACATTATCTTAGGATTTTGTTGATCGCTAAAAATTATTTGCTTTCTGATACTTTTTTTGTTTCTTACACGAGGGATATTTAATTTTTTTTTGTTATCGTAATATCGGAAAAAATTAAAAGAATGTTTGAGTTAAGTGACATTTTAATCGTAAGTGTCATAGTTTTTCGCTTTTTACCTCCCTTTGGGGTAAAGTGGCGCCTTTTTATTAGGTAGGTACCCACACGGACAGAATTCATTTTTTTAAGCTATAAGCCAAAGTTCATTATTTTTCCGAATCCTAAAGATGTCTGTAAATTTAGGAAGGTACCTACCCTTTTTTTTCTTGACAAAATTTGAATATTAATAGCTCTAAAGAATTTGCCTATAGAATAAGAAAATCGATAAATAGCCAGGCTATTTGAACTTACCCTTATTTAGGATTGCTGCCAATCTACGGGGAAATTTTATTAGAGCTTTTATAAATAAATCTTTTCCTACGTTCGCTTAAAAAAATGCATTGTTATATAACAACTATTTCATGATTACCTGGAAGAAATAAAAAGTCCAAATTGTGGAAAATTATTTTTCGTGTTCGCCGTAGCCCCATCTGCAAATTGAAACGTTTACCTGTGTGCACGCTCGGAAAAAAAAACTGTCGAATATTTCGCTATTTTACCTGGATACAGCAATCATCCAGGCTATTTCTGATCAAAAAATTCCGTAGTTTACCAACCGTGTAAAAGCTTTTGCGATTTTCGAGAGTCTGATGGATCCGGCAGGTTTCAATTTACACTGATTATTGGCTTCGTTTTTTCGTGGAATTTGAGTCAAATTAAGCACACCCAGCCTAATAACCAAAATTAAGAGAGATTAATTTAGCCGATAACTTGATGAAAATCCATTACAGATTTAGAAAGGAAAAAAATTCTGGATTTTCAATTTTTTTTGGTTTAAATTTAGAAACTCTTTTGTTTCTTCTCAAAATATATGACCAAAATCAAGTAACTGAAAATTCTTTGGTGACCTCTATTTTGTCTTAATTATTTCCAGTAAATCCTAAGCATTGTCGAAATCGAAAGAAAATTCCGTAGCAATACCCTACCCTTATTTACCTCAAACTCCCCTCTTTGCTGACAAAAACTTTCCCTCAATCTTGATCGTTAACAATAGGTTTTTTCTTTCGCTGACAAATAAGTTTCTGCTGGATTTAAGTCTTCCTAAAAACGTATTGCAGTAATTAGTGGTAATAAAATAAATAACCCAACAAGAAATATTAGATCTCTGTTCAGAGAGGCATTTTTTCCAGAATCGTACACAATACAAAAAGCCTCTCTTCTGTTACAAAGCCATTAAAAACAAAGACCCTTTGCGAGAACAATAACAAAGACTTTCATTTTCAAATTCGCCAGGAGTTAATTGCCTGATATTAGACGTAAATCGGCCCGATGAGTTAGAGTAAATTCGCCTCCATCAATTATAAGTTTACCCTATCCAAGGCACGTTTACGCATAAACACCGAGAACTTAGTCGATCCACGCCTTAATAATTTGTAGACGAAAATTAGCTCCCAAATGGGCCCTTTAATTTTAATGCGGTTCTATTGAAAAGGGTTCGAAGACGCCCTGTGGCTAGGTGGTTTGTTGTTGGGACATACGAATAATTATGATGATTGACATGATTATTGTAAATATTTGTTAGATGTTCGTAGCAGGGTTATACAGAGAATTTCTCAAATAATATTGTCTCTATAGAATGTTAGACAATATGTTCCTTAATTAAGAAACAGTTTCACAAACTCAATCATTATCACTTCTTCGTCTTGTTCGCCTTTATGCTTTGACGTAGAAGCAAAGAAGTATCGACTGCATGTCGATGCCAACGAAATAGGAATTGTTTTATATACAAGTTTGCACCCAAAATAAACTGACATGGAGAAAATCAAAATCGATTATCGATTTATATTATTTTAGGACAGAAACGAATTAAAACTACCTTACACACAGACGTGATATTTCCAGGAAGGACCGACAGAACTCAAATAGAAATTATTAATGAGGGTGTAAAAGTATAAGGACGAAAATAGAATCTTAATAGCTGTGAGGAAGTTAGTATTAAAAGATTACATGGGAGCCGTCTACTAAATGATGGACTACTGAAAGCACGAAATATTTTCAGAGACTCTACGAATACATTGAACAGAGTACGCATTTGGGGCTGGATGATATCATCAAGATAACAAAGACAAAAGCCATATTGAACATTGAAGAAGACAACAACAAAAAAGAGCAAATTTAATGTAAAATAGTATTTTTGGTAGGAAAGTTTTGGGACAAAATTTCGTGACGCAACATTGAAAAAAAAAATGTGAAAAAGTACAAAAAAGGTAATTTTGGCAGTCTTTTGCTTATAACTCGGAAGCCATAATTTTTTCGGAAAAAAAACTTGTATTCAAAATGAAAGAACATAAATTTTCCCTTAAATTTTATACTCTATATTTTTCTGTCTGACAAATCGTTTGGACTCAACACTCTAATTTATAATCAAATAACATTATCTTCATCACTTTAAAATTAAATTATCATACTATTTGAGCCGTTTTCTCTGAGAAGGTCATAGCTAAGACTCCTCGATGACGGAAGGTCCTGGCAGAGGATCCGGTTTTTTCATAAACATCGGACATTAAGAGGAATTGTGAAAAACAAACTTGTTTTTTTGCGATTAGACATACCTACCACATCGTGTGAGCGTTCTTATTTAGACAGTTCTTGGTTTCTTTCTTCGGCTCCTTCTTTGTTTATCTCAACGATGTCGTTCGACGACTTGTCGTTTTAACACAACCCGTTGTGTGTTGTGTTGTGCATATTGGAGAGCAATAAAGGCCTGTCTTCCTGCACCCAAAATTCCGCTGGCAGCCTTTCTTGCATTTACAAGATACGCGCTGAAGTATTGAATCCGGTGCTGGTTTGGAACGGGCATAAGACCACTGTTTTTTTTTTTCTACCCCTACTCGTTCGCGTCTCTTTCTCATCCAGATAACCACTGCTGCACCTGAAAGTATATTCTCTTTGAATGTTCTCGTGCAGCAACTTCAGTGGACGTTTAAAATAGTCTCTTGGCCTTTCCCATAAAAAGCTATGAGAAATAATAGAAACATGTCGCCTGCTTGGGCAATCTCGTCCTGATGAGCTCGAGGGTCTTTGAAAGCCTCAATAACTGGTACCAAGTCAGAGCGGAAGTGGTGTCACAACCGTCCTGCACTCATCGCGTGAAGGAACAATATTGTACATATATTATGGTCTGATAGGTGAGGATCATAGATGTTGTGAAATACCTCTCCTTTCCACGGTTTCATGAAAGATAATTTTTTTATAGCAGATATCTTCTCTTGTCACTTGACACAATAAACGTATTCTAACTTTCTTTCCGCATCGTTGTTATTTTCTCTAAATCATTATCCAGTATTTTATCACAAATAAAACAAACGATCGAAGGTTTTTAACAGTACGCATAAACTGCATTGTGTTAAGTAATTAAAAACTAGGAGGAATTTACTGAATAAGCTTTTAATACTGAATTAGAGTTTTGGAGTGAAAGGCGGGTTTTTGAGGAGATAAATAAAATAGGACAATATTTAACTAAGACTTGAGCTCAAACGGTCCGTCCTACAAAAAAATTTTTTCCAATGTTATTCATAGAAAATTTAATTTACTTTCATTTTGAATAAAGGTGTTTCTTCGAAAAATTGATAGTTTTCGAGTTATACGCAAAAGACTGTCTCAAATACCACTTTTTTGCATTTTTTTCAATGTTGTTTTTGTTAGCAAACCTCAGATTCAGATTCAGCACTTCAAAAAACATAGAGAATGAGGGGAATCAAAACTACCCCAAAACTTTCTCGCGCGAGACTTTTATGAGCACAAATGTACGTATTGTATTACTAGGACAGTAGAACATCAAATTGAATTCAAAAGAGTTGTTGGAGTGGTTTTTGTGTTCCGAAGGATGCGGTTCCAAATTTGGTTGGTTGAGCACCAATGTCTCTTCTCTTCTGCTGAAGTTATCCGTACATAGAAACCCATAAACCACTTATATCGCTCACGAAGCTAAATAAGTTTTATTATTCATTAGAAATATTCATATTTTATAAACAATAATATAAAGTTACTTTTTCTAGGCAAACATAAAAAGTAATATATTATGATTACAAACCGTTTGTAAAGTTATCTTAATTTCCAACCACATAACGCGAATGTTCAACACCGTTTTCTGTCAGAAATATTTAAATTATATTTCCTAGACCGTGCCAACAACGTCTCTACCTTTTAATAAATTGCCCTATAGAAAGCGATAAGGAAAAATAATAAACTCGACCTAATATAGAACATGAAAGCGGCATAAACGCAAAGCATCTTAGATAAATGTCAAGAATTTAATAATCTATTTTTTTTTGTAAACAGGTTAAAAATCAGAAGTCGATGAAGAAGCCAGACAAGTTGATAAGTGATTCGCAAGAAAAGGCTTATTGGAGAGTGCATCGTCCCCCACCAGGGATTTTAGGATCCCTCGAACAAGTACCGGTGCCCACTCGGTGTTGGAATGGAGTTAAACCTAGGAAAAAGACCATTGAGGATTGTAAGAGAGAGGTAAGTTTTGATTTTTGTTAATTAAATTTTGCAATACCTACTTAACCCTGGGTCAAATATTGTATTTGTGTACGATCAAATATAATTTGATTTTTGCTGTGGAACAAATTACGGAAAATCTTGCCATCGATCAAGGAATTCTCTAATTCGAATCCAACTGAGTCATCGAGTTCTCAATAATTGATTTCTGGACTTGCCAGTTGGATAGTTCGGATCACTCATCAATATTCATAAAACCACCTGTTGCAATTGGAAACTACACTGCCATGCAACCGATCCATCAGTTTTCAAAGTTTTCGAAAGTGAATGCAATGCAATGCAATGAATTTCCTTAACAAAGCTCCATGTCCATTTTATTGAGTTTAAGATTTTTTATTTGTACAAATATAAGCCGATTTTATGCATTTTTTGCGCGAAAATCATATTATCATCATTATCATAGGCATATGACTCTGTACCGAGCCGAGCGTTAAAATCACCTACACTATTTTCATTGTGAAGTGGCAGTTACGTAAACAACTGGTCATGTAGGCAGGGCCGAACTAAGACAATGCTGTACTGGACATTACAATTATTTGAGAAAGATCTCGGAAAGTAACACTCAACGTCATTGAAATCGTCATGAAATGCAACAAACAGCTTCTTTTTTTCCCAGAAGCTTCGACTGAATCCAATCCTGTCCCTCGCGCATGTGCACTGGTCTTTGTAGTTGTATTAACCAATAGGAAGGCGGGATTACCAGCTGGTGTTTGTTTACATTTAATGTCATTTAGTAATGCTTGGATTTGAAAATAGTGTAGAAGAACACATCAGGTGTAGATACAGAAGATATGGTTTCACTTAGCTGGCCATAAAATTCCTCTTTTATCGTCAGTTGTGAGGGTTGGAGAGTAAGCGCTGATTAGCGTAGCTTGTTGGTTGTTGCTGAGGTTTAGCCGCAGTGTCATCAGTCTTTCGCATATTCCGGATGGAAGCTCAGCAAGGTGGTTCATGGATGCGAGGTTCATACTCTTCCTTCCCTTTCCAAAATAACGTATAGCCTCCTTCGAACTCCTTAACTTGTTTAAGTTTCGCTTAGAGCTGCAATATCGAACATGTTATACATTGCTAAGCACTATAGTCGACATAAAGTTTTCTATGTAAAACAAAGTAACAAAAGCGATACATTTCCAAAGTTTAAACAATAAAATCAAAAAGTTTCGCCGGTGAAGTCCCAAATGAACAATTAAAAAAGTTTTAAGTCAACGTTAAAAAGTTTACGGCGAATAAACTTTAATGTCGGGATTTCGTTTTCGAGACCAATAAATTCGAAAGATTTTTGTATAATTTAGGTAAATTATTCGTTTTTTTTTTCTTCAATTATTTTGTTTATATTTTCGATTAGGAGAAACATTCTGTAAAAATAACGAACCAAAATAATAGGTTTATATTATTCCTGGACCTAGTTACCCCCATTTTGTTTGTAAATATTTGTGCAAAGTTAATATTTCCAATAGGGGTTACCTATTCAATTGCGTTTCTCTGTTGAATAAATAGATTTTGGAATTAGTTAATTGATTGAACTTTCAATGCCATATTTCACCCAAACTTTTAAAAACAACGGAAAACGAAATAAGGAATTGAGAATCGCATTCAATAATTGGCATGATAAGGCGGCCAAATAGTTGCGAAGTTAACATATTCCAGACCTTACGAATTTGATTCTGCAAGAATAATTATCGATTTGCTTTTTTAGTAAAATGTTAAACAAATGTATTTATTATTTATTTTCAGGTTGAACTACTTAAGACCAGTTTATACAGGACAAGAATAAAAGTGTCGCAAGCCTTGGAAGGACTTTTACAGCACGTAGATACTTATACAGAATTTGATCCTCTCTTAGTACCACCGCAGCCATCGAACCCGTGGGTGAACGAAGATATAACATTTTGGCAGTTAAATGCTCCTTTGTAAGTAAATTAGTTTTGTAATCCTTTTTTTGACAACTTCAGAAAATTTTGTGCTTCAATCTACTTATAATATTTGGTTCCCAAAAAATATTACTCGAGCCGGCGCCATCCTGACAATTTAAGCTTTTTCCGTTCGCTTTTTAGGAAGATGGAACATCCGACACATTTTAAAACACTAGCATAATTTTCTTTAAACAAAAGTTCCGAAAGAGCGGTAAAAAGATTTAATCTACTTACAAAAAATAATAGCCGAGTCGGCGCCATTTGACAATTTAAGCTTTTGCCGTTAGCTTTTTAGAGAGATGGAACATCCAACACTTTTAGAAATGCTGGCATACTTTCCTTTGAATGACATTGTTCAATTTTAATTATACCTGCATTGCTGAATCGTTAAAAAATTATTTTATCAAAGCAAGTTTTGTATTAAAATAGGAAAATATCAGTTTTCAAATCAGCTCGGGGCTTTAATATTCCTTGAAGTTGCACAAATCAGCCGTTGGTTTTACCTATGCAAGGAGCAAACTTTCCTCAAAGATGCCAAGATGTTTCAAAAGTGAATAATTTAATCAAAAATTGCGGTCTCTTCGCTCATCCACAAAATTACTCTGAAATATTTTGTAATAAATTTCATTCAATTATAAATTCCGTATAAATTAATGGCTAGTGTTTTATTGAGTTTCCATTAAAATTTAATTTTCAAACGCTTCATTAGTGAAATGTAGTCGAGCTATTATTATATCGGTTAATGCATTTATATTTACTACAGGTATAGTGTAATAAATCGCAAATTATTAATTTCGAAAAGTTATGACAATAAAACAATATTCGGATAATATTTCAAGGGTAGTTGATATTCGTTTTGATATTATACCTAATGGCTTACACACGGGGAAAAAAAATTGATGCTCTAATATTTCTAGTCCTTGAAGATATTCATAAAGCTAATAAGAAGCTCGTGGTTCTTGAATTTTGAATTGAAATTCCTGTATGCAGATCATTAGAAAGACCAATTTCAGAATGGCCATTAATTGGCCCCACGTGGAGCGCCGAATAATTTGCCACGCTTTTCCTTTGAAACGAGAAAAAAGGCCTTTGAGATTGCAAGCCTCGTGCATGCAATTTATGCCCCAGCTTATAGTAACACAATTCAGAGATTAGGGGCGCCAATATATTTTGGACAGAAACACAGATTTTCCAGGTTCTTGTCTGGTTCTCACAAATATTACTATTTGTTAAGGTGCATGATACGAATGTTTGTAATTAAACGTGGGTAAATTTATTTTGGAGAGCCGCGGGACTGTAAACGCGTCGAAATTTGATCGCGGAATCATACAAACACAATATTAGATAAGACACCTACCTTGGAATTGCACCGGGCTGTGCTTGTTGTGCTGTGTGCTGGTGTCGTCGCTTCACAGGAGCTCCTGTCTCATTAACGACATACGACGTTCTATTTTCTTGTAATTCCACTGGTCACTTCGAAAACGGGTAGATAATTTTGAGTTTCTAATGATTATTGTTGAGAGTTTTTGATTCAAACTATGTAGTCTTGGTTACGGACGCGTGACCTCGCACCACTCGGTTCGACTATGATAGCGTATATGTTGTAGGTTTGAAATTATATGGTTTTTTTTATTTCAATATCGAATTTTATATAGACAAACAAATTCCCTTTTTTTCTCAAACATTTGCATGAACAACGAAATTAAATTCAATAAATGAAAATAAATTCAAAGATGATTAACGTTATTTCTGATTTACAATTATTATTATTGTCACGGATTCCGAGCTCACTAAAACTCAACGAACCAAAGAGTAATAACTTTTATTAACCTAATTGACTTTATATAGAATTCACTTATCGAAACTTATACGACAAAATATTAAATTAAAGTACTACTCCACACTATTTATAGCAGCCAGTATACTCGGGATTTATCTAACTCTGCTCCATACTTGAATAAAATTCTCCGCATTGTTTACGCGACACGCAGACAAATACATGTGGGTCCTTTGTAACAGGAATTCAATCTTGAAAATATAACTATAAAAAAGTGAATCCAAGATACCTTAATTGGAAACATTTCAACCCCTTTTAAACAATTTTTTAGACATTAAAAAGAGATTTAAATGTAAGTCTTCTATCTGTTATTTTCTTTCGTAATGTGCGCTCTCCTTAAGCTTGTAAAAATACTTTTAAAAATCCTGTTTCTCTTGGTTGATCCATGCTCATTTTAATTAAAACTTTCTAGAGGAATTGGTTAAATATTTTTCGGGGCTACTGACAGTGGAATTTGTGTCCCTGAATTGTTAAAAGAAATTCTTCGGCATTCCAAACTATGGCATCAGATTTTTTGATTTATTAGCAGAAAAGGAGCTAGCAATGAAATACAATTTTACTTGGAAGAGGGCCTGTTACAATAATAATAAAATTAACTACATTTTGACAAAAATACAAGATTAGCAGCTGCCGACGTCAGTACAATAGAAACATCTCAACTTAAACTAATCATTAGACTCAGAACCATTAATCTTGACATTGAAATTAACCCAAACAACTACAAAAAAGTTAAAAGTGAAGTAACATCTGAATGAAAACATAACATAAAAGAACAATAAATCAGCATTAATGATGGTTTTCAAAAAAACCATAGAGGTTTCACTGGCACAACGAAATAAAAAAAAAAAGATAAAAGGATACATAACATGGCAACAGAAAACATATAAAAATTTATGAACCGCTAGGGAACGTATATGAATATTAGATTATTATGAAGAGTCTGGAGAAAACTCAAATAACATGATCTTTTTTACCGGATATTTACAAACTTTGCATAAAATAAATTTAATAAATAATGGAAATCCTGATGAACATCCTTTTTCAATGTACTTTTTTGTTACTCTATTTAAAAACGAGAACTAGTTGATTCTCTGAAACAGTCGCTAGTTATTCCACGCAAGCGAAATGAAAACAATTTCGCAACAAAGCGTACAAACGCAAAATTAATTTCCACGTATTCCATTTATGCATGCTCTGCAGGTTTGATTATGCATTCTGGCGCTCTGCATCATCCGCAAACAAAATTTCATCCGTAGGCCATTGTTTTGGGTTCCTGTCTCTAGGGAAATAATTCCAAATCTATTTCTGGGCATCTGATCTGGGCATTGCGTGTTTATTCTCGTTAGTTCTCTAATGTGTAGATCAATCAGCTTCTCTAGAGTCTTCAAGAATGATGATAAACTAATTGGTCTATACTCTTTTGGAGTTGAGATGCCTGATTTACTCGCGTTAGGTATAAAGACGACCTTCAGTTCCCTCCATCTTGCTGGTGTATGCCCTAGTGTTAAGCAATCAGCAAATATTTTTAGCATTGGTTCTAGAATGCTTTCCAGGGATTTTTGTAGCATATCTGGTCCTACGGACTTTTTTCCTCTAGGACTCGTGACAATTTCTTCTATGTTCTTAATGGTTGAGGGATCTGACTCTTTGGTAGGAATTACCAGATTCTTTTCCTCTTCCATGAGAAGCGAGATTGTTTTCCAGCCTGTCTTTCAAGAATTTCTGAATGATTCGGCTTAAGGGAGTTCGCGATTGATTTCGAAGTGTATCCTTCTCTACTCAGCAAGATACCCTCTAATTTTCAACCATTATTCTCTCGCGAGTTTGTGGCCAATGTCAAATCTATTATCTCCTCCCTGACCCTATTTGTGAATGTTGGTACATTACCTCTATTGCATATAACTAGGTCAGTGGTTAGTATAAAGTTTGAAAATGATTCTCCTTTTTAGTTGATGTTCTTGCTGCCATTGTGTGTGATGATCTTTGTTTCGATAAGTGAAAGGTTATGTTTTATTGAGTGAATTTTGCTCAATGGAAGTTTTTATTGTTTGTAAAGTGAGTTTTGGTGACGGATAATGCCGTCCGGAAGAATAATCTACATGAGTCAAGAAAAACAAAAATCAGCTCTTCAATGATTATTCTTTCGTTATTCTCAGAGTTGACATTCCAACGGAAAAACGAGTGAGAAAATGGGGTTTATCAATGGAAGATTTACTCGGAGATCCTACAGGAGTGCAAGAGTTTACGAATTATTTGCAAAAAGAAAAAAGCGAAGAAAACATTTTATTTTGGTTAGCTGTCAACGATTTGAGGCGCTCGTCACAGTCTCAAGTATTATGGAAAATCCAGGAGATATACGAGTAAGTTTAAACTTCTGCCAAAAAAATGTATCTCATTCAATTTATTATTCAGAAACTATGTGAAACACGGAGCTTCTAATGAAGTCAACATCGATAACCAGACAATGGATAAAGTGCTAGAAGGAATAAAAAATAATAGTCGTTTTTGCTTCGATGCCGCTCAGGAACACGTCTATAACCTACTGCTTAAGAAAGATTGCTACCCTAGATTTATTAGATCTGATTATTATAAAAATTTATTGTCCAACGGCATACAACCTTTGCAAAAGAAAAGGTAAGTGGAACTGTTCCATTATCACGATTTACACTTGTCTTGTTCAACTCTAGATTCTTTGGTTTTGGACCGACCAAGAAAAAAGCATCGACTACATCGCAACCGAATCAATCCCAAGGTTCTCAATCTTCTACTACCGTTGTCCCTTGTGGAGGAGCTTTAAGTAAACGACGTGGGAGTGACCGAAGCTTATCGGGTTCCGCACATGAAATATCCCATTTCGGTGTGAGCAGTGGTACCCATACAACAATCATCAAAGAACCTAAAGTACCGCATTCGCATTCCCAGAGTAATTTAAGTGATATTCCGTACAGGTAAGAAAAATGTTTTATTTAAAACTTGTGAAAATCGGAACATGGTAAAAGCAAAAACTTCTAATGGGTGTTGACGAGCTTTTACATATTAATTATTTTAAAAAAGCATCATTATTGCTTTTACCATTCAATCCTAAAGTAGAACCAAATAGTGCCCATGGCTGCTCAGCGCATGGCTTTCTGAGCGCTATTCTGACCACACCGTTAGGGCACAACAGAACCTTTAATCTAGGAAGAGTTTCAATAATGGTAAAACGGTTATTATGAATTTCTAGATATAGCCATCCACGCTTAACTAAAATGCATTAAATTTGCCATTTTCAAGAGTCAATCATTAACATTTTCGATTTTATTTAACATTACCAAAAGAGATTTTTAACAAGAAAATAATTATTATTGATTTAAATTTACAAAAATCTAAAAATCTCTTGTGGTCTGTCCAAAATAAAACCCATTTTAGATGTATAGATGTAGCTAGACATGCTTCATTGCAGGGGAGACCTAGACCTGAACAAAACCAGCCCCATGGCCACTTCCAGCCCGTAAGTTGCATCGCAGAATTGCAGTTTGATTCGTATATCGGTGTTGTTTCGATGTAATTTTTTAAATTGATTGTTGATGTTGTTGCAGATCAATTCAATTTGATGTAGTAAAATGGCGCAAAGCTTCAAAAAAGTTCAATTTTTAACCAGCTAGCATGGAACTATGTTTTTGTGTGGCCAGGTGAAAATTATAATTTTCCCGATTTAGTTGGTTAAACTTTCAATTTTTTTGATTGTCTAGATTTAGAGTAATTTTCGAGATGGATTTTTTCTTCGACGAAACCAGAATTTCGTAATGGATAAAATATTTTATGATATTTCAGTTATTCAATCATTTGCTTTATTGTTTTCTTATCTCATAAAATTTCAGCATTTTTCCTGCACCAACTTCGAAAACATATTTGAACTAAGTATCACTTTCTCTGATTACATTTGCAGAGAATAAACGCAAGATTGAAAGCTTTCTAAATTGTAAGAACATCTTGCATTAATTTTTTTTAAAAACGCCGACATTCTAATAATTAGAAAACTTTCGGGATCCCTGGGGCTTATCTTGAATTTATAGCCACATAAACTTTAGCAAACTTTCAATAAACTGTTATTACTAGTCCCTGCTTTACATGTTAGCGTTTATGGGTCGTTTAATAACGTTATGAGCTACTATTTCACACGCTTTTAATATAAAATATTTTCCTCATCTGAGATTTTGGCGTATTAGGTAGGTACTTAGATGCATATAATTTGAACACACCACATCATGCATTGTGCTTGCTTACTAATTGTATTTGACTTTCACATAAATATTAAAAGATAAATACGGCTCAATCCTCCAGAGTTAAAAAACCAAGTATAGCCCCTGGAGCGTCGACTTCCGAAGAAGTGTGCCCCTGGGAGACGCCTTCAACGCCACCGCGGACACCGACGAGAAATCGAAAAAACTCCACCCATTTGGATTCGGAAGATTCTTCTTCTGATATAAGCACAGGAGTAACTGAAATGAGTGAGAAGGTGAGAACATAAATAGCTTATTGTTGGATAATTCCAGACCTGGTGCAAGTCTTTGCCAATTTGATTTCCTGGTTCTCACAGTCGTTTTTCCCTTCTCTGAGAACCAGGCAGGGATATGAGAAGTAAATGTGTGTCATAGTGTATGATATTAAGGATAATGAACTTGACCTCAAAAATGTCAATCACTACCTGAGTTTGATGATTACCAAGTCTATGAGTCGAGCTCAACTATAAAGAAGCAAGCAACCAAAAAAATAAAATTAGATTTTCTTTGAGAAATCGTCTTCTGAGATTTCCAATGTTGTTATTATTTGATCAAATTCTTTCTAGGTACAACGCTGCTTACTAACTCAACAACACACCTTGGACTGTGGCAAGAAACTCCACGTGGACACGTACGAAACGCCGCGACGGGCCTCAGTTTCCGTGCCAATCACCCACAACAATTCCAGTATAGAAAGCGCCCGGCGCAAAGTGTCTTCGTTCGAGGATAACAGCACTACCGCTTCAGCGATTCACGCCGCGTCATCCGTTTTTGTAATTCCTAGTGAAAAAGACAATAAGCTTAATAAAAAACCCGTCGACTACGCTCTCAGTATTAGCACAACTAGCGCGACGATGAAGGCTTCGCAAAAGAGCCACGGCTTCGCGAAAACTTGCTCAATGTCGAGTGGCGCTCCCATCATAAGTGTCAGCTCTGCGACAGATGACGTTGTCGTCGTCGATTGTCCGTTCAATCCAGAATTGGCTCCCGAAGAAGATGTTGATGGGGCACATGGAGAAAATCCCACTTTGGGTAAGGCAAGAATTATTGAAAATTTGTCAGATGTAGCCCGGGAGTTTTAAATGAGCAACAATATTGACTATTATTCCACAGTCAATCACCCAAACGTCAATTTGTTAATCATATGTTCAATTAATTATGTCAATCCGGTCTAGAGGTAACTACCTATGAAGTTCAAGTTCCGAGCCATCCTGAAACGACGCCGCCATCTATAAGTATTACCATGCAAGAGCCGAAAGCACCCTTAGCGGAACCCGACATCGAATCACCGGCTACCGAGTTGCCTCCTTCGGAAATGCCAGTCACAAATGAAGATGTTGCTTTAGCTGAATGTGTAACTGACTGCGAAAATGATGAGGCGACAACGGTGAAGCCTTCTGAGGGAGAGGATGACGAGGCGAGGAACACCGATGTCTGTCCTTGGGAAGATGAGTAAGTAAGAATAATTGATGGAAGGTAATAGCACTTAAACTATACACCAACCTTGAGCAGTAAATTCTAGCTGATAGATGCGTGTAAGAAATAGACGAGAAGTTTGAATTGCACTAAAGCACATTTGGTGTTGTTTCGCTAATCTGGGATCTTGTATCTTGGAGGTAGAATTTGCTCCTCAAAGACCTGTTCTCCTTCTTACAGCAAAATCCGATTGGCTCGGCCTGACCGGATGCAATACCTACTCCATCTTTGAAAAAAGGTTTCATCAAATATTCCTCTGTCAAGTTATCTACGCGCCAATTGCGATGTTGCTGTGGGAGGATTTAGGTTTTTAAAAAGCTACCTACTATACCTGTCAGTGTATTATTTTGATTCTTTACACGGTCTATTTTCTTCTACAATTAGGGCCAGTTCTTTATCGCTATATGTCGTAACTTTTTATTCAAACATCTGCGGATTAACACACCAAAAGTCTCAATGTCCGCTGGCGGAATACCTCTTATTTGTGAGAGAACCAAAATGAGAAACATTATTTTGCTAACAAACTAATTGACTTGAGCAGCGGAACAGCAAACCTATTTTGGCAAATGACCTAAATACCATTTCTGATGCTCTCAGAATTGTTATTAGCGTTTCAGTCATAGACATAAACAAACGTAAATAGTTGAGAGATTAATATGTTAACTTTTCATTATTTGTTTCAGAGAAAATTGTAAAGTGAACACACCATTCGTTAAAAAATACGCAACCCTTGGATATCTTTAACTTGCCATAACACGAGGATATTCAAATAAAAAAATAATTTTGTCTTAAAAAAAGGCTAGAAGATATTAAATTTTGTTAGAACTTAGAGCGATAACTAGGTTGTAGTAATATTGATCAATTTACTACAGTAAATTAGCCAAAGTCTAGTCCTAGCCTACGAATGGTATAGTGGGCAAGTTATTTAAAACAATTTATTTAACAACAATAATTGTTTTGTTTCATTTAAGTAAGATGTTCATAGAAACATAAAATACTTGGTTAATTTTTTTATACATAGATGATATATGACGACAGGGTTAAAATAATGAACTAAATATGAGAAATATTTATTTCACCAAAAAATTATTTGACCCATCTGAATATGTTCTTACGGATGTTTTAAAAATTGAACTTCATGGGTCTACGAGATTGAAACTCCTGTATTTAATTGTTTTGCATATCATTGAAAAGAAAGTTCTGGGCAAATTTCGATGATATCCTTTGTAAAATTTAGGCTTAAATGTGAAACTCAAAGATATCCGATAAATAATCAATGTGGCCAGAAAAAAATTATGGATAAATGCTCAAAAAATTAGCAGGAGTTGTGAAAGAATTCGAGACAAATATTATTGGTAAAAATTCAATTTTCAAAATAGGTTAATAAGGGACTTTGCCAGCAAAATAATTCAAATTTATACAGTTTCACTATGGAGATTGGATCGCTGCACTCCAAAAATGAGCACAAATAAGTAAAATTGCCAAATTGCATAAGATGCTTCACAAAGTCCAAATTGGACGATGATTATTAACACAAAAAAAAAAAAACACTTTTAAAATATGTTGGGAAAATAAAAAATACTATGTACTACTAATTTGACGCCATACGGTTCTGTTTGCTTTTAATCAAATCAAAATAATAAAAACAATTTTTGGATTATTATTTTATTATTGAAATATAGACCCTATGATCATGGAAACAGAATGTTTGCTCGATATGAGAATTAAACTTTTTTCTACAAACTACTGAAAAATTCAATATATTCAAAGCTAAATTAAATATTATTAAATCAGGTTTCAATATTTGAAAACTAGGTCCTAACATGTTATTTCCCAAATAGAAGGGGGTTTTACTATCGTAAAAAAATAATCTAGTACTTATCAGCCTGCATTCTAATTTGTAGTCATTTAAATTATGATTTATTAATATGTTCTTCTAAGCCATTTTATGTAGCATGTAGCAAAGTTACTTAAAGGATAACCTTACCATCAAGTATAACTTAATGAGCCCGAGATATGTTTGATGTTACTCGTCCTTGATTTCCGCAAAAAAAATTAAAATTATAATAATATTTATACCTCATATAAACAAAATGTTTATTGTTAAAAGTTAGTATACATTATATGTTGTTAGATGTGTGACAATTTAACAAAATGGACCAAAGGGTTGCTACAGTTTAACATCTGTGGTGCAGAGCAACCTGGAAGTTTTAAAAAAAATAAGTGTTACAATAGTTATCGGTAAAGGACTTTTAAACACTATCTTTAAAAAAAAACGTTTATGTGTCGTAGCCGTAGGTGTTTAGATGGTTAACAAATAAAAAACAATTTCCGGTATAGTGTTCGTGTACGCTTCATTTTATCGATCTAGATATTTTAACAATAGTGTTCTTAAAATTGCCACAAATAGCTGAATAGAATACCGAAACTGCCTGAGATCTTCTTGAAAAGTTCGACGTTCGAAAATTACGCTTAAATTATCTGAATAAGATTTTGATTTTGGTTCAAAAACCCCTTTTGGCAGCACAAAAATTAAATCTCTAGAGCAAAAGCTTTAAAAACTAGGTTTCGAGTGAGAGTGTGCGAATATGAGCAAATCACAAAAGATCTGGAACTTCAAGATCAATAATTACAAGAGGCTGATAATCCACAAATAACTTGGAACAGTTCTACAATAAGTTATAGTTCTATGATCTCGTAGAGCTAATGACTCAGCAATTGGGCTGATTGATTAGAAACATCCAAGCATTTCGACGCTTTTTGCAGCATTTGGTTTCTTTTAAACATTTTCGAAGCTAAATGGACTACTTCCAACCCTACAAAATCAAGTTACGTAGATCAGAAATCTACCTAAGATACAGAAATGAATTCTTTCATAATATGGTTGCGTGAAAAGCAATCAACCAAGAAGCCTACCGCAATGGATACAGAACTTCTTTAGATATGTTTTATGGTTCAAAATGATGGATGACCCTCCAAATTCCAGCCGATATGGTGGAAAAGCATTTCAGTGAATTGCTAGTTGCGTGACTCAGAGTAAATTTCCCTTTTCGAACGCGCCCTGTACATCCAACCTAATATTTGTAGGAGGGTAAGCGCTGGAAATTTGCGGCGACTGCGTGAGGATTATCTTTTAACATGGAGCAGGGGTCGAACGAGCAACGCGCGTTTATGGTCGTGGCGTTTTTCAAATCGAACGATTCCTAGGTCGCGACATCGCGATGTTTTTGTAACCGTTATAATATTCGGCGTATACGTGATGCTCCGTCAAAAAATTCATATTGGATCGAATAATATCTAATCAGCCAAAGTGGTATACAGAGGCAAATGAGGAGCGTCCTGGCCATGTTTTCGAATTGAACAGCGCCTCGGATTTTCCGTCGCAACACGCCGCACAATCTCAATATTCTATGAGGTTCTAGATTGACTTCTGTCGGCCGGGACGCTTCTGATTTGCCACTTTGTCTGAATCTTTGAACTCATGATTTCAATGAATTTAAAAACCGAATCGACCATAAGCGCGCGTTGCTCGTTCGACCACTGCTCTATATTTACTGATATTCCGCACGCAGTCGCTGCAAATTGCCAGCCACAAATATCAGGTTGGATGTGCAGGGCTCGTTCGAAAAAGGAAATTTACTCTGAGTCGCCCTTTACTTCTACCGTCACTAGATTTGTTTTGGTTCAAAATTTGAAACGGTTCTGAGATTGCGCAGAACTGCTTGCGCACACGAAATAATGGAGGACTGTTCTAATACTAACTCTGAACCGATTCGGAACCAAAAAAAAAACATTTTCTCCTTCAGAGCAATAACTTAGAGAACCGTTCTAGAACAATCCCAGAATTGTTCTTATATATACGCTGTTGACACAGTTCGATTACGATTCTGGATAAACGAAAATGGTTTTTGTCATATGCGCATGTCCAAAATGATTCCGAACTAGTTCTGAACGAAACCAAAACAAAGCTACTATACTAATTCGAACGGTTTTAGTATTTCTATTTTGCAGGTCAAATATCAGAGAGAAATGTTTGAATGAAGCTCCCAACATAAATTGGAAGATACTCAATGGACCGTGATTTTTGAGAACCTAGAAGCCGCGCCTGATAGTAGCTTCGTTTTGGTTCGAAATTTGACACGGTTCTGGGATTGCGCGGAACTGCTTGCGCACACAAAATAATGGAGGACTGTTCTAATTCTAATTCTAAACCGATTCGGAACCAAAAAAACTAAAACAAACCGCAAATCACAAAATTCCAAAACAGTTCCTCCTTCAAAGAAAGAAATGAGAGAACCGTTTTAGAACAATCCCAGAATTGTTCTTATATAATTCTCAATACACCAAGACGCTGTTGACAGTTTTATTACGATTCTGAAAAAAACGAAAACGCTTTTCATAACATGCGCATGTGCAGAATGATTGCAAACTAGTTCTGAGCGAAACCAAAACAAAGCTACTGTACTAATTCGAACGGTTTTGGTATATTCATTTTGCAAGTCAAATATCAGAGAGAAATGTTTTAAATAAAAATGAAGTTCCTAACATAAATTGGGAGATACTCAATCGTCCGTGATTTTTGAAAACCTAGAAGCCGCGCCTGATAGTAGCTTTGTTTTGGTTTGAAATTTGGAACGGTTCTGGAATTGCGCACAACAAAAAATGGAGCACTGTTCTAATACTAATTCTGAACGGATTCGGAACCAAAACAAGCCGGAATTCACAAAATTTCAAAACAGTTCCTCCTTCAGAACAAGAACTGATCTAAAAGCCAAACGCTGTCAACACACTCCGGTTACGATTCTGAACAAACGAAAACGCGTTTCATTACATGCGCATGCAGAATGATTCCGACCTAGTTCTGAGTGAAACCAAAACAAAGCTTGTATTCTAAGAAAAGGTTCATTTATCATTTTCACCCAAAATAACATCTTTCATGAATTGAATTCTGAAAAAGTTCCCGTCAGTCGAATTGAAGAGCAACCAGCTGGATTGACTAACAACCACGAACAACCAGGATAGTTCCAATTGAAATGTAGTCTTACAGTTTTAGTGTGTGTCCTGACCCTAAAACTACAGTCAAAAGAAAAAAACTGAATCAGTACCTAAGTAGTAAAAGTAAGGACAAACAAAATTTAAGATACGCACATAAAACAGAGATACGCACAAAATTTGAGTCGAACTAATAAAGAAGAAAAATGTAAGTAAAGTAAGTACAAAATAAATAAACGTGCCAACAAAGCCCAGAAGGGAGTAATAATTGACAAAACAAAAGTATGGTATGCTAAAAAGCAAAAGTTTTAGTTATTCGCGGAATACGAATAAAATTTGTGCCGTTTTTGTTCCGGTGTAACTAAGACTAGTATTACAAATAAAATATTTAATCGTGCATTTATGTAGCTATAATATTTGTTATAAAGGAATAGGATAACTTAATAATAATTCTAATGGCTATGAGTTACCAAGTAGTTAAGGTCCTAGATACCATATCACTAAACGTAAGTTAGATGCCGTAATGGTTTATTGAAGTTTGTTGGAGCCTTCAAAATAACTTTACAGGCATTAAATGCGCAATAGTGAGCCTTGGTAACTTTGTAAATGTCTAAGAAATAAAAAGAATAAGTGTTAAAAATGTTTGTGACTTATATGTATTAAAAAACTTTTTTTTAATTTTTTTTAAAAATAGGTTTAGGTAGGTGCCGAGCCCTTAGACACCGAAGTGTTTAGAATAAGTTCCAATTTAA